GGGTTTGTTACCATTTCCATTTGTTCTAGTCCTAGTAAGGACGTCGTTTGTCGTGAGTCTTGTTCTCCCTTCAGGAGTTGTACACGTCCACGGATGGACGGACCTATGTGTTATTTGTTGCGCTGTTTGAGTTCATCGGTAAGGTTTTATTGGTTTAGTCGACTCACTCCCACGGAGGGGAATAAGTCATTGGTTCTTAGTGGTTCTTGTTTTGAGAGTGGTTTGACGACACAAGTTGCCGAATAGGGATTGTGTTTTTGGTGCCTAGTTCTGTCAGTGATGGCTAGGGGTGTGTCCTGAATGGTAAGTTTGAGGATGGTTAGGTGACGTGATGTGAGTCAAGTACTTGGGTATTTTTATTGATGCTTGATTTGAATAGTGTCTTGAGGACAAGTGTTGGTACTGTTTAAGTGCTATGCAACTAGGAAGTGAATATGGGATTCCATTGAGGAATAATGGAAAAGATTAACTCTGGTTTCGAGATCTCAGGCATGGGATAGTTGTATTGTATGTTTTGACGAGGTAAGAATTAAATTGAATGATGTTATGGAGTTGTCTACATAGTATGGATGTTATGAAAAGATCAAGAGCTTGTTTGCTGATTGATGATTGTGGTATTTGGTGTTATATTGCTTTTAGCTTGTTAGGGTTATATGATTAAAGCATGATTGGGATTTTTGGAGTAAGTATGTGACTATTTAGCCGTTGTGGTTACGTAGACGATGGATTGATAGTGAGTGGATCTCATTGTAGTTTTATGGACTTTGTGAGATTATGTTTGAGGTTTGGACCTGAGGACAGGAACGATCTCTGTGTTGAGATCGGATCGATGATGGGAATGGCCCGGCCAACCATTTCTCCTGAATCAATCCCTCGTAGCACGATGTCGGGTCAAAGGTCAATGATTGTTTCAATTTGTCAAAGATAGTGAGAGCATGGTATTGCGCCTTGTGTCGGTGTGACAGTGTGGACTCGGGTTACGAGGTGTGTTAGGTAGGACCAAGTGTCCAACAAAGGGGTTTGCGGTACAATCGTTGATTATTGAAGATCTTGTTTTGAGGATTTGAGTCCTGGGTACAGGATAATACGCTTTATTGTTTTGGTGACTTATGATTATGTAGTCATTGGGAGATCTATCGTTTAGTCATCTTGAAGTTGTTTAGTATGATGACTGTCGCATAGTGCGGTTAGTAGTCGCTGTTGCGGTTATGTGATGGTATAGCTATGCAGTAGATAGCGAGTGGTTGGTTTGACAAGGATGTGTAAGTTTGAATTTGAGCTTGATTGTGTGATGGACGGGAATCTAGTTTGGGGTTTTATGTGTCCTTTAAAGGATAAGTGGAGTTTGGATATTGTTATGTTCAGTGGTCTGATGACTGTTCTTCTTTCGGGTTTTGGAGCCTCTCAGGGCAGTGTAGAGTGGACCGATGTCCGTTTTGAGTCGGGTATAGTGTAAAACGTATCAGTTGGTTTTGTATTCTGATGTTATGAGTGATGAGAACACTCATAAGGTGGTGAGCATTGTGATTTAGCGGCAGTGGTATGTGATTGCCTGTTGACATCCGGTGACAAGACAATGAGGTTAGTGAGCTCTTAGTCTTGCAGTTTTGTGGGGTGTTTCTCAGAAAGGCGTGTGGCCGTGAATTTTCTTTTAAGAAGAGTAGATTTCGAGGACGAAATCTTTTTAAGGAGGGTATATTGTAATATTTCTTATTTATTTATTTTTTTGATGGGCCCTACGTTGACCTGTCATTATATTGACCAATGGTCATTTTGTAGACCATCTTCTATCTCTCTCTCTGGCGCAATATCTCTCTCCCTCTGTCTTCTTTTTCTTTTTCTTTTTTCTTTGAGCTTTATTATTCTCTTCCATTTTTCGGCTAAATGGTAGGGTTTCCGGTTTTGATTCCTTGATAGAAAACGTTCCTCTCGTCGTTCTCTATTACATAGTCAAAGGATTTAATTTTTGGAGGAGCGGTGATTATTTTACGAATTTTTGAAAATTTTCCGATCTAAGGCTTCGGATGAGGTTTTGAGCCACTTGAAGTCTGATTCCGGAGCTCACCCTTTGGAACAGTAGAATCACCTCGTCGATGGCTACGTTCCTACCAAACAATTTTCCTTTCCGCCGGCGTTGACTGGCGTTGACATTTGTTGACCGGCGTTGACCGCGTTGACCGCGTTGACCGGCGTTGACTTTTCCGGCTGGGGATATATTTTGGCTACTTTTGAGGTAGGGGTGCTTTAATTCACAATTTCTTAGGTTCTATGTGAATTTTCCTTCTTAAATTGAGTATAAACATGTTTAATTTCAATTATTTTGACTATGTGATTGTGGTAGATTATATGTAAAGTGGTGGATGTATGCTATGTGATAAATAAGTTTGTAAATTTAGTTACATCCTTGTAGTGAAGAAACATGCTTAGATACATTTCAATTGCCATAGAAATTTGATATCATGATCGTAGAAATAAATATTTAAAATATTCTTTTTCAAGTTATGATTATGATACGGGTAAAATGTATGGAGTATAGTTGTTAAATTTGGCATTTAGAATCATAAAGCATTTATGCATCCATTGGGAAAGAAAAAGGGAAAAAGTATATTTTTTTAAAACCAATGAAATTGTTTCGGGAAAAAGTTTTTGAAAAGTGTTCGTGAAAACCCGGACGCCTAGGAGGCGCCTAGTGGTCCGTGGTGTCAGTGTGGTCTAGAGAGGGGACTAGGGAGAGACCCTGCGTGGTTGAGCTAATCAGGTCGGATGCGACGGCTTGGAGGTACCTTGTGGTCGTGAATGGTTAGCCAATCCCCTTTTCGTGACGCCTTGGAGGTGCCTTGGGTCGGATTACACTAACGGTTTGAAAGTTGAAACGGCATGGTTTCGGAAACGGGGAGTGACATTGCATAGCATGGCACATAATTGGCATACGTGGTGCATTTGGTAATGGGTTGAGATAGGTATGGTTGTTGATGATACAGTGGCTTTACTTGACCCCCGAGATATGATCCCGTTTTCTTGCTTTCTATTCTCTATGTAGATTCACGGGGTCATAAGAGGTATGTCTTAGACACTTCCTACTGAGCATTTAACTCGCTCCATTATTTTAACATTTTTCAGGACACGGATGGCAGGTGGCGGACGACGCTCCTCCACAGGGTTGATGGGTTAGTGGATTGTTTTGACATATTTCGTAGCCATGATTTCATTTCATTATTATTGTTATTTTCTAATTTTTTTAAAACCATGGTATGACTCGTATATTACATATTGACGTTGGAAAGGAAGGTAGTGTCCTTAGTTGACCTCGGGGTCGCATAAGGACCCGGTTAGCGATTCGGACCCTCGGGTTCGGGTTGTTACAATAAGTTACGCAAATTACTAGTCAAAATCTTATTTCAATATATTAAATTATTTTTCTTAAACCAAATACTTTTTTCACTCAAGAAATTCAAGAAAATATTGAACCCGACCACTTTGTAACTATGTTTGGCCTTGTAGAATTAGGTTAACGGTATGTGACCAATCAAAAAATTTCAACTTAATTATAGTTCGTTACACTTTTAAAAATGAATTAATAAAAACAGGAAAGGAACCCAACTACTTGACAATTTGATGACTGAACAAAACATGTATAAAAGACACTTCCTCACAAATTAACTACTTCAATTTTCTTTTTTCTGTTTCCAGCATGACAATCAACCAACTCTAGAAGAGTTATTTTCTTTTTTTTCAACTAGTTCAAGAGTTTATTTATTTTATTTTGTTTCCTAGTTGAAGAGTTTATGTTTTAGACAAAAATTTGAATGATGAATCAAATAATGTCCATTAATGCATACTATAAAACATATCATTTACATGACTGTACTTATACAAAAATAATAATTTTCTGTTGCATTAAAGAACAAAAAATTTAATCCTTTTTTTGCCACGCCAAATTATTTGCATCGGATGACTCAAGGGGTATAGTACGTGTTGGATGATTATAGACATTTCTTGCCACCCCAAATCAAAAATATCATTTGCATCGAAAATTTTGTATGTGGACGAGATAGTGTGTTCTTAGTCCTTGTCCTTATTATTTATTTAAGGCTAAGGAGGACAAGCAGCCTCAACCGGATGACGAATTTTGTACTGGTTAACTAATTCTTTATTTCTATCTCTTTTCTTTTTTGGGACATTTTAATTAATATTAAGCAGGCAATTAGGCAAAGTGGGTGTGGAGTGGTGTGTTTCTTGTCAATGACAGAAAATAAATAAGGTGGTGGTCATGGTGGTGGCTCCTGAGTTTCTTCTAGCAGGTGCATCTTATTTAGCGAGAAGGGAAGCTTGGCTTCAGCCTTAATGCAACAGAGCGAATGTTATAACAAAAGAAGTATCAACTCATTTGTTTTCGGTTTAATTTAATGTTATCTATCAATTATTCTTTGGTATTGTCACATTGAAGCATGCAATTTCACAAAAAAAAAAAAATAATAATAATAATAATAATAATAATAATTAAAAACGAGTACAACAACGAATCAAATAACGGCCTTTGTTTCTCTCTGCTGTCTAACCTGGTTCTCTCTATTGCATCAACAACAAGAAGAAACAGCTGTCTGACCTGTTTTCTTTGGTCTTAGCATGTGCAAGGGTCTGGTTTTGGGGTAAGTGGATAGTAACTGCGATGCTTATCTGAAGGAATTTTAGTTTGTGGAACAAGACCTATCGGGGAAGACGATGAATGAATTAGATATTGGCCGTGCAGTTGTGGGTGCTAGACAACCAAATTATAGCTAAAATCGTTACATCCATAGAGACATGCGTCCACATATAAAATACATTCAACTTCTCAGAACAATGAACTATGATGCATAACAGCACCATATACCTAAAATCTAAAGAAACAAGTCTCCACATATAAAATTTCATTCTGAAATTCAAATTCTCAAAACAGTTTACTATGCACAAAAATAACAGTCACTTTTTCAACTACTAAGTAGCTCTCACAAGAAGTTCTACCCTGCATTTTTTAATCTCTCCTTAATCCAAGTAAAATCTTCCTGAATGGCTTTCAAATCCCTCTCCAGAGCTTTGAATCTACCCCGTGTAACTGGGGCATCATCCTTCTCATAAGCAGATATCATTACCACACCGCATGATGTCACATCCCCTGTTACTTCTTGATGCTCAGTAGCCTTTGCCTTCTCCTTCTCCTGAGCATATCTCATAGCCACACCATAAGCCACAACATATTCAGGCTTTAACCTCATTTGCAGCTTGCTCTTAAACTGTGCCGGTACCACTTCTCGAAGTTTGGGAAAGTTTGGACATCCCCCAACCAACACAATCTCATGCAGGCGGCTATACTTGTCATTTTAACCAAAGACACCTTATCATTTTAACCAAAGACTCGAAAAGATACCCATTGAGCTCCTCAAACTTGGGGCGTGTGAAGGAGATGCTATAATCAACCCCCTCTAACAATTGTTTCACCTCGACCTCGACAATATCATTTGATGACAGTGAAATTTTTGCCTTCTCACATGGGATGAGTAGTCGATTGATCATATCCATGTTAGCATAGACACCACTGTACCTCTTATTGAACTCATCCCGAATGTGATGCGCCATATTCATGTCCATGCTTCCACCACAAATTTTATCATCTGTAGTAGTTTCTTCGTATTCCAATCTATCCTGTCCCACACTGAACAAGGTCACATTTGACGCCATCCCACCTACATCTACAATCAAAACGGTTTGATGACAGGATTCCTAATCTCCTTCTCGTAACCATACGCAGAGACTACAGCGGTAACTTAAGTGTAGGTCTCAGCCAGCCTGAGATCTGCAAATGCAGTTGCATTTTGAGTACCATCCACCCTGGGATTCTGATTCTCTAACTTGTTGGGTAAGGCACAAGCCACATCCACGATGCAGACCCCAAGGGACTTCTCGGCCATCTTCTTGATCTCTTCAATGATTAAAGAAGATACAGCTTCGGGAGATAAATGTTTTTCCACTCCTTTGCGGGTCACCTTTATCTAAGGCGCGTCTTCATGTAAATCTTCAATCATGTGCACACCAATGGGAACAGGGAACTTGGAATGGAGGGCACTTGCTGTATAGCCAACAAACCTTAGGTGACCTACAAAAAGAGGCAAAAATATATATAAATATTTTGTACTAAATTAAGGTGCTATTTAAATTAAGGTACTAAATCAAGATAAAGCATCTAACCAGTAATTGTATTTTCACGATTCATAGGAAAAAGTTCCTTCGCAGCATCGCCAATTAATGGCCCGGAGTTCGTAAAAGAAACGTAACAAGGAAGTGTGGCTGCTATTGTTGCAATGTTTCCTTTAATAACAGCTAGGGAACAGCAAGTGGTGCCGAAATGAATGCCTACAGTCGGTCCCTCTTTGTTTAATTCCATTGCTTTTCTCTTGGCCCGTACCTGAAAACAGAGCAGGAATCTTAAACATGAGATGGAGACCAAGGAAAAAACAAGAAGAAAAAAGAAAGCAAACAGAATCAGAGAATGGCAGAAAATGATATACCTGAAGCATCCCATCATTTCCGTTGGAGGAGGAAGCCATTTCCGCAAAAACTTTCCCAGTCGGTCCCTCTTTGTTTAATTCCATTGTTTTTCTCTTGGCCCTTACCTGAAAACAGAGCAGGAATCTTAAACGTGAGATGGAGACCCGGGGAAAAAAAGAAGAAAGAAAGCAAACAGAATCAGAGAATGGCAGAAAATGAAATACCTGACGCATCCCATGGTTTCCATCGTCGGAGGAAAACATTTCAAGCAAAACCCAATCAGCCAAATGCTACTGCAACAAAAGAAATTCAAGCAAAACCCATGATTGATAATACTATGAGGTGCCACAAAAACTAATAAAATGAAAAAGATAATTAGCCAAATTAGCCAATCCAATGAATGAATGAAAGATCTCAGCACGACAACATATAGTCACTTGTCAGCAAAACAATGAATCTTCTATACTTGAACATTTGTATAAATGAATACATTCATTATTGTTGATTTCATAAAAAAATAGAGATTTATTACTGCAAGTGTTCCCTAGAAAAATTATTGAATTCACACAAGAAATAAATGAATGTAAGCTTAATGTCATGGACATCCTTATCAACTTTTTCTCTCACATGGAAATTAATTAACAAAACATGTATATAGTGCGCAGTGTATGCTACTTTTGATAATTGTTACCAATTCCCAAAACTGTTTCCTCTGCAATAACTTAGCTCTAGAGAGATCTGTCTTATCTCAATTTTCAATACAACTTATAACTCACATCACATTGGCAAAAATCAAGTAAGATACACTTAGAGCATGTCCATCTCAATTTGGGACACTTTGGACAAATTCTGAAAATGATTGAAATTACTTAAAGAAACAAAATCAAATCACATTTCACATTTCGGCTATCAAATCCCAATTTCAAAATTTGAAAACTATATAACACCTCTAAACATTTCAGCCCTTGGAATTTTCAGAAATTAAGCCTCAGAAATATCCAAATACATGAGCATATATGCATTGAAGATCAATCATGTCAAAAAGTTCCAAAAGAAACCATATACATGCATAGAACACATATAGATATCAAAAATTTTGTCTCTTCTAATTTCAGAATTTATTTGCATGCTTAATGACATTCAAGTTCCTTTCCAAAATTATCCAACTCATACAATTATCCAATTGAAATACAACAGAATTTCAAATACAACTTATCCAAATTGAACAACACAACTCATATATTGAACAATCTCTGACATAAGCGGAAGTGATAAATTTGTTCACGAGGAACAGGTTACCTTGAATCCATAAGGTGGGTGTTTTGAATACACAAAACGGAAAGAGAATTCAGAGAAATTTGATATATTATTTGATAATTGAATGAATGATCTGCTCTACAGTACAAGTATTTATAAATAAAACCCTAACAGCATAAAGGAAACCCTAAAAACGTACGGAAACTAGCAGCGCAAGGAAACTGCTCAAAATCAAACTTGCTCTGAATATTCTTAAAAAATAAGGAAAGAAAGCAAATCGAATTTGTTTAGTCTTCTAACGAAAATCCCAAAATATTCAAAAATGAGAAAACGCCCTTCCCGAGCCCTAAACGATTGAATTTGACCAAAGGACGCCCCAGCTCAATAACGAAACTGCCGATATATGCGAGTTGGGCCGTTTATGATAAAATTGGGCTCTTTCTGGATTCACTTTGGGATTAGTCCAAAAAATATGTCAGTATGCCCGTTTGGCCCCCTGGCGGTCCAAATGGGCCATAAAGGCTTCAGCAATCAGTTCTACATCAGTCTCCCTTGCTTGATAAGAACTCGTCCTCGAGTTAAGACTGAAAGAGCGCATCTCATCTGGCGAAAAATACTCAAATAGATCTGCAACATTAAATGTAAGAGAAATAGTCATGTCTTCTGGAAGCTCAACAACATAAGCATTATCATTAATCTTCTTCAGAATCTGATAAGGCCCATATTTCTTGTTCTTCAATTTGTTGTAGGTAACAATAGGAAATCTCTCCTTGCGTAGAAACACCATAACTAAATCTCCTTCTTGAAATACTTTCTTCCGCCTCTTCTTGTCTGCTGCTTCCTTGTATTTCGCATTGGCTTGTTCAAGATGCATTAGAACTCCATCCTAAATGGCTTGGATGTGATCTGCCAAGTGTTCTGCAGCAACACTATTTCCAGGAAGCTTCGGAAGTGGGACCAAATCCAATGCATGCTTTGGCGGATGATAGTAAACAATAGCAAAAGGCGACTTGCCCGTTGACTGATTAACTATGATGTTATATGCGAATTCTGCCTGTGACAACGCAAGATCCCACTTTTTTGGTTTCTCACCATAAATACAACGAATCAAATTGCCCAATGTCCGATTGACCACCTCTGTTTGACCATCAGATTACGGATGACTAGTGCTACTGAAATTCAAAGATGTATCAAAATGCCTCCATAAAGTCCTCCAAAAATGGGATAGGAATTTGGTGTCCCTATCAGAAGTGATGGACTTAGGAACGCCATGAAAACGAACAACTTCTTTGAAGAATAGATTTGCAACATGTGTAGCATCAGAAGTCTTCTTACAAGATATGAAATGAGCCATCTTAAAATAACGATCAACAACTACAAAAACTGAATCTGCCCCTCATTGAGTGCGTGGAAGTCCCAGGATAAAGTCCATAGACAAATCTTCCCAAGGACAATTTGGTGTAGGAAGAGGGATATAAAGACCAGTGTTTTGAGACTGACCTTTAGCAGATTGACAGATTGGACACCGCTGCACATGGTTTCTAACATCCCTCTTGAGTTATGGCCAAAAATCCCTCAGAACAAGATGTCCACCTAGGCCGCCACCATGTAATTCATGAATAATTTGTTCACGAAGGGAACTCCTCGGAACACAAAGCTGATTACTATGAAAAAGAAATCCCTCATGTATGTGCATCCTCTCAGCAACCTATCCAGTCTGAAACTTAGCCCAAAATTCCTTGAACTCATCATCTTCCCCATACAACTCTTTCAAACTGTCAAAACCCACAACTTCAGCTCGCAAAGTCACCAGGAGTGTTGCTTTCCGGCTAAGTGCATGTAACTCTGTTCTGCTAACCTGATTTATGCCTTAAGGAAAAGGTAAAACACTGTAGAAAAGAAACCAATTTGGCATGCATCCTAATAATATTATTCTGACTGTTGATGAACTTCAAAACTTGATGATCAGTGTAAATAACGAACTCTTTCTGCACCAGATAATGCTCCTAAACCTTCAAGACACGTACCACTGAATAGAACTCAAACTTATAGGTAGTCCACTTCTTCCTTGCATCACTATGCTTCAACACCAACTCCAACGACTGAGGCATCATACTCAACCTCAAATAATTTCTCAAAACTTGGCAATGCTAGAATAGGTGCATGAGACAGTTTTTCTTTGATCAGCGCAAAGCTCTGTTCTGCCTCTTCACCCCATTTAAATTTTCCCTTCTTCATGCATTCTGTAATAGGAGCAACAATACTGTTGAAATTTCTGATGAATCTCCGATAAAACGTTGCTAAACCATGAAAACTGCGCATATCGCCTACTGTTTTTGGCGTGGGCCATTCTCGAATTGCTCGAACTTTTTCCTCATCAACCCAAATGCCTTTAGCTCTCACCACAAAACCCAGAAACAGTAAACTGTTGGTTATAAAAGTGCACTTCTTCAGATTGATGTATAACTTGATTGCCTGTAAAACTCTCTGTACCTCCCTCAAGTGCGATTGATGCTCCGTATCTAACTGACTATAAATTAGGATATCATCAAAATAGACAACAACGAATCTGCCAATAAAAGGTTTCAACACCTGATTCATAAGCCTCGTAAAAGTGCTTGGAGTATTAGATAACCCAAACGGCATCACTGACCATTCATACAGACCCTCTTTAGTCTTGAAAGTAGTCTTCCATTCGTCCTCTGGTCTAATACGAATCTGGTGGTAGCCGCCTCTCAAATCAATCTTTGAAAAGAGTTTTGAACCAGCCAACATTTCCAATATATCCAACATATCATCTAACCGTGGAATAAAAAATCTGTACTTGATGGTGATCTTGTTGATGGCTTTGCTATCGATACACATACGCCAGCTACCATCTTTCTTTAGTATTAACAAAGCTAGAATAGCACACGGACTCATACTCTCCTTTACCA